AAAAATATTGCCTACTTGGAAAATGTCATATTTATGGAGATTAATAGTGCAATGTTCTTTTCAAATGCAATATTTTAGTTATGAGATTAATAAAAGGGAGCCACATCTTCCAGCTGAGTTGTTATGAAGTTGATATCAAAACTTACAAATTATAATGATTGTTTGGACATCTTCATGTTTCAGTTGTATTATTATTATTATTATTATTATTATTATTATTATTATTATTATTATTATTATTATTATTATTATTATTATTGTGTTGGTGATAGTGGTGTTTATTTATTTTATTTCTATTTTCTCTTTACTTCAGTTATCTTGAGTTATCTTTGCACAATAAAGTGTTTCCTCAGACGTGCGTGTTAGCTAATATATGGGATCATTATAAACATTTATGCGGCGGTGGAGCCTCTCGTGCCAAAGGGGGCTGACGCTCGCGCGGATCGAACCTTTCGATTGATACTGAAACAATTTGCATACTGATTCTCTTTCAGCGCGCACGGATCCATAACAACAGCGGCTTGCTATTCAAATGCGGCTGCGTTTGAGAAAAGGGAAGAAGCACGGAGGACAGAGGCTCGACTACACGGCTTTAAAACGATGGAAATCTAGGAAAATGGACAGAAAAGAGCGCGGATGATTTCGTCAAGACCGCGTGCAGGATGTTTGGCTGGACTGCTGCGCCGTGAAGAAGAAACGAGACGGAGGACACGCAGAGATATGCAGGGAGAGGGTGGGACATAGACGCACCGAGGAGCGCGCACATTCTGCTTTTATATTTCAAATGTTGGAGTTATAGAGCTGAGATATATTGATGCTTGATCTGTATCCTCCGCTCGTCTGTAGCTATGGGAGTGACCTGTTACAGACGCGTGACAGATCCTGCGGTAAAGCCAGTGCGTGTGTGTCGTGTGTGTCAAGAGTTTGAACGCAGACATGTTGCGCCTTGTTGAGACTTGGATTAAAAGGTCTTTTAGTAACACATCTAGGAGATTTGGCATGTTTATCTTTTTTAATAGGCCACATAGGCTATATGTTAACTGTGTCTTTTTGATGTAGTCGGTACCGTGCCAGAGTCATGCCTGTCATGGTTAAAGATGCAAAAGACGTAGCGTTTACATTGCCTTGCCTTGGCAGAACGACTAAGCAATAATCATTTGTAAAAGATCCAAGTCAGGGATCCAGAGAAGGACATGCTCCTTTGATATAGGCTACTAAAGCCAGACTGTAATTAAACAAAAGATTGAATTAGAGTCATGGCATTAAAATGTCTCATGGAGTATTTTATGCATATAGGCCTCTTTAAATATTTCACTTATTTATTCATTTTTAAATTGACTGTACTAATACAAGTCACTCAGCCCATATTTTAGTTAGATGAAAAATTGGCCAAATAAAAGAACTCTCCTATTTATTTGATGCAAATAGGCTATATTAAGTTTGAATATGTCACTTGTACAATTAAAACTGGACTAAACTTAGGCTCTTTTTGTAGGCTAAATAGTAGACATAGCCTATTGCCTGCTCCATTGCCCACTTGTTTTATATTTTTAAAGAAAACTCAAAAGGTGATTCACCTGTAGTTTGTGAGGTAGCAGTGAAAAGTGGCATTAGCTGATGAAGGCGCCTGCATGTGACAGGCTTACGTCACCATGGGGTCTGCCAAAGTTAGCGGAGTAATTGTGCAGCATATGGATGTGTACATGTAAAGTGATGCCTTATTAATTGCACTTGAGTGCGCGAATCCGACCAAGTGACGCGGAATAACGCACGGGCGCAGGCAGTTGATTTACCCCTGAACAAGGCAGCAGGGGCATCTGTTGTGCGAGCACATGATGGCATTTTATTAATTAGAACATAATGCAGTGACATTCCTCACTCACATGAAAGACAAGTTTTTGTCAAAGTGTGTGTGCGTGTGTGTGTGTATGTGTGCGCGTGTGCCACGTGTGCTTGTGTATGTTGGCTGAGGAGATAGTTCAGGTACTTTTTTTTTTCTTCAAAAGTTCTTTAAAATGTGAGAGGATTTAGTGGATTAAAATGAGATGATCCATGTTTAGCTCTTAATTCTGGGCTTCTCTCTTTAACTACTGAGGCAAACACAAATTTAATCCAGTTGGATGGAGTTTATCCCTAAACAATAAAAACTAATTATATAGTAATTTTATAAATTATTATTTTTACAGAGGTCGTAAACCTTCATACACAGGGTGTTTGCACTCATGGTTGAAGACAGGAATGTTTTATTCTAAAATACTTTTCTCAGCCGTGGGTGCGCCGAAAAGGCCATTGTGGCTGAAAATAGGGAGTATTTTTATCTTTGTTTATTCTATCAAATCAAAGGCCTTAGCCCGAGTTCCTCCTGGAATTATAATTTTATTCAGTATTGATTGGCGCGCGGTGTGTGTATTCAGGGCCCATAGGCTGCTGCAAGCCCGCTCCAAAGGCCAGCCGCCTACACTGCTCTGCAGAGCACTGTGCATGGTGCACAGAGCAGACAGGCATCATTTTTGCTTCTCTTGTATTTGTACAAACAGGTCATTGTGATAATCAGATCTGGTGCATAGGTTTTATAGTTGAAAGTTAACAACGAATCACTGGAAGTTTCGAATAAAATAGCAGCAACAACAGGCGATTTCATATCCAAAAGGGTAATTCACTTTGCATGCGACTTTTCTTGTAACGGCCCCGCCTCAAAGAAATTAACATTACGGCCATACGTTTATTTATTAAAGATGATTTTCACCACATGGCATTTAGCAATGCCTGCTTCTCAAACAAGATTCAATTGTCATTTTAAACATCTGTAACGCTTGCAACGTAGTGTCACACTGTATGGCTGCCGAAATATTGATCGTCGCGGCTCTGTGAGTGTATATGATGTTTGTGTTGTGGATATGCTGCTGTGATCTTCCCACAATCAAGCACCATGATTAGCAATAAGTGTTTCTGGTGTCCATTGCGCAGACTTAAACTTCTGGTGCATGTACAATATTCGTATGATCCACTATCGTTAAACCCAACTAAATGTGACGCTTATTGGTTCTCATTTCTCATTTTCTTTTACGCCTAATTGAAGTAAATTCTTTTTGAAATGTATCCTCTTAACGCTGTGCGTCCTCACATTGTGCGTAAAGCAAATGTCAGCGGCTATAGGGCATGCCTATTCTCGGCACAATGGCCACAGAGGCAGCACATAAACACACATCTCAGGTCGTGGTGACATGGCAGCAGCGTATCGATCCGTATGAGAATGTGTAGATGAGCCCTGCTGCCATGTGAGGCCAGAGCCTGGCCTTTTAGCCCTCTGCCTTTACAGCTCTCTGACTCTACACAGTAGAATCCCCAAACATAAATGTAATAATAATAATAATAATAATAATAATAATAATAATAATAATAATAATAATAATAATAATATAGCCCGTTTTAATAGCATTAACATTAAACATCACTTTTTACTGATTTTGCTGTGCGCTGAACAAGTGTGCGTCTCTTAACCTAAAATTATGTAACGCAAACTATGTTGTGTGTTTTTGGTTGGCCAATTTTTAATAAGGCACTAGCCTTTACCCTTCTCAGTCCATTATGTGCAATGAACTACACGGTTGGCCACTCACATTCGGTGGAATTAATGTCCCATTGTCTCGACACACGTCACACACACGCCGTTGACATTGACTTCACATCAGAGACAGTTTAACTTCTTCTCGTTTTTTCTCCTTCTTTTATTTAACTCGTTCAAGCGAGTGCTGCCTCTATTGTGAGCGCCCTGACAGATGCAGGGCCCCATAGCAGGTCCAGGACAGGGAAAAGTCTGAAAGGTTAATCTGTCCCCCCGCAGATGTTGGCTTTGGGAGTCTTGAAGCGTCACCTTTGACATGTCCCCCATTCAGCGGGGGGTCCAGCAGGACACTGACCGCTGCAAGCTGTCACTTTGGCCGAGCGGAGGACGCCCTTTGCACTGCTTTATGATAAACGGCCCCTGACCTGTGCTATGGCCACTCTGGAAACACTTGTCAGGACAGTCGCTCATGCTACATAGGCCTACGGGTTATTGTCATGCCACTTCCTCACAGTAATCAATGGTGTGCTCTATGTACATTTTGTGTTTGTTTTGTATAATAAAAAATCAAACAACGATGCCGTGTGCTGTTTGTTTAATGCTGGAACCTGCTCATATATGGTAACATTTTCTCATACTAAAGTCATGAATGTGTTTCATTATTGTCTTTGCTCCAAATAGGACAAGTGTGCGCCCCGCACCACACACAGCCTGTTGCTGCGCGTGGTTCGTTAGGCCTAATGGCTGAACAATAGACACATCTGCTCATCATTTCTATCAAAAGAAAAGGTACTTCTCGGTTTGGTTAAACCGCCACAGTGGGGGTGCGACGCATCTGATCCAACATACTGACAAAGCAATGCAGAAATATCATTGGTGCCTACATAACAAATACAAAATAAAACATTATTTATTCAAGTTTTTTTAATTTATTTATTTATTCAGTGGTTTGTCGCTATATAAAGCTCACAAGATGATATCCATTGAGTTAAAATCAACTTTAAATGAACCCGGAAGTTTACTAAATTTGTGCCTAATGGTTTAAGGAGAATCGAGGATAAGGCTCATTATTCCCAGACCTATAAATAGGCTATAATATATCGACTATTAAAAGTTTAGCAGGAGGTTGAGCTCGGCATCCTTTTTTGTTTTGTTTGTGTGTTTTATATATATATATATATATATATATATATATATATATATATATATATATATATATATATATATATATTATATATATATATATATATATATATATATATATATATATAACATTTTAATAAGCAATTGAATATCGCTGATGTGAACCTTTTAGCGAGTGCTTTGATACGTCCCGTCCTTAATAAGGTACGTTGCGTCACCAAGGATGGGCGTGTATATGAGAGAAAGAAAGCGAGCTTGGGCGAGCGTGGAAGTCTTAGTGCGCATGCGCGGCCATTGATCTGTGCCGCGGTGGAACAGGGGTTGGAGACACACTACTAGAGATGGCGCGGCACCCGACCGGAGCGCAAGGACAGCTGCCTGGCGATGGGGGGGCTTAAATCGTAGAAGAAAAAAATCTGGAAAAACGTTAACAAAAAGAAGATTTGGAGTTTCTATTTCTCAAAACTACACCCGAGGAAGGAAAATAGCGAAAGCGTTAAATAAAGGCACCAGAGGAACAATCTGCTGTGAGAGCGAAAAGCAACAAAGACAATAAGTTAAGTGGACGTTCTGGACAGCAGCTAACTGCGGTACGTCACATAGATGGTTGGTCCACAGCGCTGCCCGGATCATGAATGCACAGTTGTCGATGGAGAATATAGAACTGCACGGAGTGAGTCATGAATCTTTAGCCAGCCACGGAGATCTGTTGAGCGGCCACAGCCCGCATTCCCGTCCCAGCCCAAGAGGTTTGAGCCACCGCGCGATGGGAATGGCGACCCTTCTGGACAGCGGCGACTATCATCCCGGACACCCCGGACACCTGCACTCGGCCATCAGCATGTGTGAAGCCCCCCCTGGCATGAGCGCCAGCAGCACTTACACCACCCTCACCCCGTTACAGCCTTTACCCCCCATATCTACCGTGTCTGACAAGTTTCCTCCGCATCATCACCACCACCACCATCCGCACCATCCGCACGCGCATCCGCATCAGAGGATTCCCGGTAATGTCAGCGGCAGCTTCACGCTCATGCGTGAGGACCGTAGCCTGGCTCCTATGAACAGTCTGTACCCCGCCTACCATCACAAGGACCCTTGCATGGGCCAGAGTCTATCCCCGCTCTCCGGCTCCGGTCTAGCCAGCATACACACGTCCCAGGCTGGCATCCCACCGTATGCACACCCTGGCGCCGCCATGCCCGGGGAGAAGATGCTTACTCCAAGTGGTTTTGAGGCGCACCACCAGCCATGTTGGGCCGCCACGCGGAGCAGCACATGAGCTCCTCGGGCATGGTCCAGATCAACGGTCTGCATCACCATCCACATGCGCACCTCGGTGCAGCACAGGGCCACGGTCAGGGGCTGGGGGGCAGAGGTGAACAGGCCTCTGGGCCCGGACAGCCAGGAGGGGTTGCCACTGGAGGAGCAGTCGCGGGAGGGGGGGCTGTTTCTGGGGGACAGATGGAAGAAGTAAATACCAAAGAGGTGGCGCAAAGGATCACCACAGAGCTCAAGCGCTACAGTATCCCTCAGGCCATCTTTGCGCAGAGGGTTCTGTGCCGGTCCCAGGGGACGCTGTCTGACCTGCTACGGAACCCTAAACCCTGGTCCAAGCTCAAGTCTGGAAGAGAGACCTTCCGCCGCATGTGGAAGTGGCTGCAGGAGCCTGAGTTCCAACGCATGAGCGCGCTCAGGCTCGCAGGTGAGCGAAGCCTCGGTAAAGCCCCCTTTTTTGCTTTTAACATATCAGTGTTTACTCGTTATAGCCAAGAGGAAGACGAGTCCTAAATGTTAGAAATAATGTTCACTAAACAAAACAAAAACAAAAAACGTGATGTGCCACATTTGTTGGCACGATAACAACTTAATTTGAACTTAAAACAGTTAACATTGAGGACTGGTGTTTTCCTTTAGGTTTGTGTATTTACATGACAATGTAAGACTATCTGTAACAACCAGAAAAAAGTTATTCAGCAGTTTTGTAAACAGCCCAAACAATCCTGTCACCATTTACTTATTATGAAAGAAAGAATGGGCTGAATAATTGACTTCAACATCAGACTAATAAAAAATCCCGACCGGACTTCATCAAAGTTGTGTCCAAATCAGTGGCTGTTTATCAATAGTCTACGCATCCGGTTTCTGTCTTTACACAGATTTGGGGCTTGTGTGAAACAAGTGTGCTCATGTCATTTTACCTCAAAGTATCGACCGCTGCATTGTGTACGTAAAGTGATCCTTTGCGCAGAAATCGTTAGGAATGTGTTTATTTTGGTGCACAGGCAACTGATCAGGCCTTTCTGTTGTTGTTCTTCTTAAACTTGGAAATCAGTTCTGTGGCACTTGTTGTTCAGAGATGTGGCACAAATAAAACTTAGTCTAGTGTAAATTTATAAGCTGTAAACTTGCGATATTAGGTTACAATTTTGTAATGCTTTGTTTTGTAAAATTATTATATTTAATAACATATTTTACGATAAATAAATAAATAAATATATATATATATTTAGGCTAATTGTAAGACAGCCAAAAACCAAAACAAGGCTGGTTTAATTAGCAGATTCAGAGGCCGTTATTCATTAGTCTCAAAGGTTTACAGGAGTCAATTAAAGCGCGCAAGGAGGCCCATGTCTAGTGTGCAGTGTTTCACGCGCAGCACCCATAGATTTCTTTAAGTTGTGTAATCGATGACCTACAAATGGGCTTTTTGACTTTAAAAGTGAGGCCTCATCTTTACGCGGCTGTGGAAAGTGCATGAGTGTTTGCGTGCGCCTGTCAGTGTGGCCTAATCACAACTGATTATTTTTCATTTTTCCCATTTGCTGTTTGTATGTTGTGCATGGATAATAGTATACGCGTTATTGTACTTTAATAGGCTAAAGATTTAAATATGGGCTATTATTTCATAGCCTGTGTAGCTACATTCTGTCAGCCCTTTATATGCTTAATATCATCTTTTATTGTGAGAATAAATTATGTTAAAAATACCAGTGATGTAGATCAAAACGATTATTTTCAAATAACAGTTAAAATTAGACTGTTTAGGGGGAACCTGGACTGAGAGAATAGGCCTATTGATCTGCATGTGTCTAGGTGAGCTATGTGATCGGCTGCTGAAGTAGATGCGATATACTTATTGATTTTAGGCTTCTGAAATTAATCTCGAGACTTTTTCTGCTTTTCCCACGTATTCAATTATCCTTTGACTGGATAGAAAAGACAGGTAACGACTTGGGACTGATAAGATTGAAATGGGCGCGTTGTTTATTGTGCTTTTAACAGAAAACCCCATGTTTAGTTGTTATTATTATTCCTTTATTTACTGAGGAAATTATTATTATTTTGAATGTTACCTCTAACCTAGTGAAGTAATGGGTCGAGGGTCCAGTTGAATATTTGCATCTGCAGAGGTCTGTTTGCTGTTCCCTGTGTGAGAACGCGGCTCTATCATCACAATGTCAGCCTAGCAGACCTTATGTATCCATGTGACTGTGGAGTTATCTGAGGCTGTAATGATTAGCCGGGAGCAGAGGCAGTGTGCGTGTATCCCTGTATGTGATTAGTGTGATAACGAGGTACGTTGTTTTAGCCCCCCATGACCTGATTGGAAGGCTGCGTGGGCCTCCATACCTGCTTTGTCTTGTCCTGTGTGCTCGGCTTGGCTCCAATACCTGCTCTCGCCTCTGTCTGCGGTGGCCTTCACTTGTACTGATTTATAGCAGACCGTCCATGACTAGCAGCGACACTCTGTTAATATTTACCAGCACTGGAGACAGCGTGCTGTCCCTATACCGAACGATTGTAGTCCATTTTATAATGGTCGTGCTTATATTTTCAAAAGTGCGCGTTACAAGGGACCCACAGTAAATTCTTAAACTCGTTGATAATTTCCCTGTACAGTTTTTATTCATATTGACGATTTTTGTTTTATCAAACCTTGTTGTGGTCATTTTCATTAGTTATTCATGTAAAAGTTTGCCACGTGTTCCTTTCTGCGCATGCCACCTTTCCGCGTCTCGTTCCTTATGTTTTGGTTTCTTCTGATCCATACGTGTAGGCCTCATTCGGTTTAATGTATTTGTATGGACATTTAGCATTTGATACATACATAGATCTACATCTTCAGGTGCATTGGCGTTGGTTCTTCTTACAGTTTAGGCTTTTCCCTTCTAAAGGCCTTGTGGTGTGTTACTATATGCAACAGCCCAATTCTGCCCCCTCCTGGCCCATGCGCACTACAAGAGCCTTACGTATTAGACAGGAGGTACGAGGAGGGGGGAATCACAATACAATATAAAATCGGGTAAAGGACGATTTGATTAGCTGTCAAACGGATTCTTTGAGAAGTCCATTCCGATAAAAGATGATAGGTCTTATTGTGTAGTCACAGAAACGAAAGTTAATTTCAGCACCATGGACAGCGCGCACGGTTTCTAGGTTCCCGGGTTTTTCCTGTCTTACTGAGCCGTGTCTGTCTGTGTGTGCTGCAGCTTCTCTGGGTGGTTGTGTATGGTGGACTCCCTCACAGCACCTTTCAGCTGACAGAGACATCACTAAAGAGCAGTAGAGCGAATGATAGAACAGAGAGCAGAAAATGGGTTTGTCTTAGTCTGTGAAAAAACAAAATTCAATCAAAGCTAAACACGACTGGCAAAAAGTTGAATAACCTTGTACTAACTAAGTAGCAGCTGGTATAAACACATACATATACACAATTATATATTTTATTTTATATTTGTTCTTTATATTATTTGTTTATAATTTGTTAATATTAGTACCACCATAAACCTTGAATTTTCCATGTTGCCTGCTTAAAGTATTTAATATTTACATAAATGAATTGCCATTAATTGTGTATAAGTTTGGAATCTTGATCTTGCGAAAGCAACTGGCTGCTAACAGTGTCTCAACTAATAGTTGTATAGTATTTGTTTATGTAGCATTTCAGTATATGGTGCCCCAGTTGCCATCTCTGGACATTAAGACAGGGTTAAGGTTAAGCAGTTTAAGTTTTTTTTGTTTTCATCTCTGACTTCAGCCATCTCCTAATAGCTCTGTGTTTGATCCTTTCAGCATGCAAGCGCAAAGAACAGGACCATGGACGGAATGATCGGGGGAATGTTTCTAAGAAGCCTCGTCTGGTGTTCACAGACGTGCAGCGGAGGACTCTTCATGCCATCTTCAAGGAGAACAAGCGCCCGTCTAAGGAGCTGCAGCTGACCATCGCGCAGCAGCTGGGCCTGGAGCTGGCCACAGTCAGTAACTTCTTCATGAACGCGCGCCGCCGCAGCCTGGACAAGTGGGTGGACGACGGCTCCGGTCACCCAGCCAACACAGGCCCAAATGCCTGCACCAAAGCCTGAAGACGGACTGACTTGACCAACTCATGGACTGACTCAACCTCGGTGGAAAAGCTTTAAAACTTAAGTGAAACAAAGAGAAACTTAAAGAGACCTTGAAGCAACGTTTTGCCCTTAAACCTGTACTATATTGATATTTATAGTATCCAAAGATGAAAAAACAAACCAAAGACTTCTTGTTGACCTGCTTTGAAATGTTTGTTTCAGCAACACATTTCTGTGTATACATACTGCAAAAAGACTATAGTTTTACCCCTCTTACACACACTTACTATCACTGGTCTTTAGCTTTATTACACTTTCCAAGTATCCGTCTAACATCACCATCCTTATCTTTAATCTAAATGGTTGGTTTTAATGATGGGTCCCTAAATGAGGTTTAGTCAGCCTATTGGCAGTTTGATCTGCAGCTGTCCACGCGCTAGAGAAAACAGCCAGAATGTGGAGCTCTGTGGGATTGGCCAATCATCTCCAAAGAAAACAAATCCCACAGGAGCTAAAAGATTGTTGTGCAACATTTTTGGTCAGTGGACTGTCTGTCTATCTGGCTGTCTGTCTGCTCAACTGTCTATCATTCTAATAACACATTGCAGAGAGACAGAACATGCCCAAACTACTGTAGAATGCTAACCCCAAATCAAAATTGACTATGGTAGTGCTTTCTTCCAACATGCTGAAACGTTAAATCATACAATTGTCAAACCAGTCTTCTCTACCTAGTTCCATCATACAAAAAAATCTACTTACACAAGAATGTAATCTGACCAAAGAGTATATTTTGTAGTTGATAATCTTGAAAGTATTTTACTTCACTTACCTCCAAAGAGACTGTTATGTCTAAACTTTTCCCACTCATCTCTTCTATAGCTTTAACTCTTAGTATATTCCAAAGAATCATTGCCTTATAAATGCCTTCTTGAATCAAAGAATACAATTGTATCTTCACAATCAGTTTTATGAATGTTACTGTGATTGCTTATTGTGAAGATGCATAATCAGTCATTTAAAGCTTTACTTCCCCACGGGTTATCTGTTATATCATTTATTGTTGATCAAAGATAAAAACACCATAAGGAGTCTATTTAATTTTTTATTTATGGGAAATAGAGTGACCTGGTTTAGTAATTTGCTTTCGGAGCGTCACTGTGCCCCCTGCGCTTTATATGTATCTGATTTTTATCTCCTCATCAAACATGTTGGTTGGAGGGAATGATGTCAATGATAAAATCACTTTCTGGCACTTACAGAGCAATGTCAGTTCATCACTTGAATACAAAAGCATTCTCCCACCATGCCCCTCCCATCATCGCTTACTATCCTGGACATTCCCGCACTCAGTCGGTAAAGCTATGCATTTCAGCACTAGGAGGAAAGCACTACACACACAAAGACAAAACAGGGCGCGGAGTAGCATTAGATAATATATTAGCTTGGCCCCTTTGCCGTCATCCTCCTTTTGGCCAGGGTTAGCAGCTCTACATTCATCATAAATACAAGCGCTGAAAGCAAGGAGAGGCCAAAGAGAGAAAATGAGCTGCTTCTTCATCATCATCATCATCCTCTTCATCATCTCTGAAACCAAAAAAAATATACAAAAATTTGTCAAGACCTGCTGATGTTTTATAGTGTGAACCAAAGATGCTACCTCACTCAAAAAGTTCCATACATAATTTCTATCACTTTGATGATACCAAAGATTACCAAAGATTTTTTCTCATTGCACGGCCTCCACGAGTGGTGTTAAACAAAAGAATATGTTGTTGTATGTTTCCCTTTTTCTAACCCTGTACTCCCTGTCCTCCTTAGCCCCGCCATACTCTCACAAACACTATGCGTTCTCTCACTTCATCTGTGCTCCGATTACAGCTCCATAGATAGTCGTGCTGATGTAGCTATAGGCACATTTGCTGATTGAGCTTTAGGTACACACACAACAGCTTCATGTGGGTCAGATGATGGTTGGATTTTTCATTTCTGCTGTAAGGGTCAATCTGTCAATACCAAAGTGACGTTCCTTTTTGAAAGTTGTTCCACCATCCTTTCTGTATAGCTTTATTTCCACTTGCCTTTGAGTGTGTATCTATAGGTCGATGTTACTGATTCAGCTAATAGGTCAAACATCTTCACACGACAATAGGTCGATGAGCATCACATTCATGGGCAGATCAACTATAGGCAGACATGTTCCTGAAAGTAGAAGCAGATGTGTTGCAATCTTTCTAAAACTCCCAGGACGAGTGCCTTGCTTGAACCAAAGTGTTAAACCGCTGTTGACCTCTCACCTTTGACTCTGTGAATACCTCAGCCTGTAGAAGGGCCACTATTGAAGAAACAAGGAAAAGTCTTTTTTTAATCACACCGTGGTGCTTTCGCCAGCGCAACCATGCAATGAAATAACATACCAAAGGAGTTTCTGTTGTCCACTTCTACAGATTAAAAAGCATACCAAAGGAGTTTATGTTGTCCACCACTACAGATTAAACCAAAGGTCTTAGTTTCCTCCTGTCTCCCTCCTCTTCCTGTTGACCCTCCCTTGTCTCTGCTGTGTGTAGAAGGCCCAGCACTCTGGCCGTGCATGTCTTTACCAATGTCTCTGAATACCTCATAGTAATAAATCCTTTGAGTTCTGCATAGAGACGTCTCTCTGTGAGTGAGGCAGAACTCCTGTCGTGTGCTAACTGTTCTTGTTATTTCCAAATAATTATCTATTTTTTAGTTTTTGTTTATGGCAGATGTGCTCTGTTTGGAGTCACGGCGGACAAGTTTCAGGGTTGATGTATGAAACTTAAGGCATGGAGGGAGAAGCGTATTTTTTATCAGACATTGGGTTTTGCCAATATTATGATGTAGACTATTGCTTTTACAGGGTAAAACCAACTGCTGTGATATTGTGTTCATATTTTCCTTTTTCTCTACTTCTGTGTTGTGATTTTATTTAATTGCATTTTTGTATTGTTTAACCACTGCTTTAATTTATGCATTTGTAGAAATTCTAGATTTGTATATAGTAGGTTTTTGAAAAAAGAAAAACAAAAAAGATAATTTATGTTACAGCCTTATTTCCCACGCTTAGATATGACAAAAGAGTAGTTTGTATTTCTCAGCTAAGTCCTAGCCGACATTTTAATGTGTGTTTTAACACTGCCAGAAACCTGACAGTTGATTTGCCAGTGCCAGCAAAGTCATACAGGAGCTACTTTGTTGAACCCCTGGCAAAAAGCAGTGTGTATGTGTGTGTTTTCTATTCTTTTGACTTTTTAAAAATCTGTTATTTTATGGGTATTACTGCACATCCAAAGATTTTTAAAACAAACCAAAAAATTGGAAAAAATATGTATAACGTTGAAAAGCACTGGCATTTGTGAATTAGACTTGTTGAGTTTTGATTTGCCATTCGCACGGGTATAGAATGTAGAAGGCGTAGGGCTATGTAGACAAGCTTACTCTACCATGTGGGGAATCTCCTGGTCAATGTACAATCGGAAACATCCAAATGGAGGGCTGCAAGTCCCGCTCACTTTGCTGTCTCATGCACTGAGTGAGGTGGAGTGGAGGCTGGGCAGCCGGTCTGCCGGGGGTGGAGCCATGCACCTGGGTCTGTTTTTACTGCCTTGGCACCGCCGCCTTACTCCACCTAGTATCTGTTCTTTTGGTACGTACTCATGTAATGACTATAAGCAAAGTCTAATAAAACTGCTAACACCTTTATGAAGGAATCGGTGTGTTTGCAAAAAAGTGACTGTCAAGTAATGTACATCCTTGTGAGAGTGTGTGCGATTATGTATTTGTATTTCTTAAGTATACTTGTATTTTGTATGGGACAATGAAATTCTCAACTCAAGTTGGCACTAGTGTGTGCCAAGATACATTCCCAAGGTGTCAATTACTTACTGTTCTACAAATGCTCATAAGATCATCTAGTGGCACAAAGCGACTGGCCCTAGATAGCACTTTTTGAGTCTGCTGTTTATTTTATATTGACTATTTCAATCTGATTATTTATTTTTAAATATTCCTGGAGAGTCAGAATAATAAATTTGTATGTGTGTGCATGTTTTATGGGTGAATTGTGAAACATTGTAGACTCCCTCTGATGTCATATTCAGACAGCACAGTACCCTGGGTCATACCTGAATAAGTACAGTTACATATGTGATATATAAGCATATTCACAAAGGGATAGGCTCTGCAATAGGAGCCTGTATCTGCACCATTATCACACACAAAGCTGTTGATGTTAATGAGTTCCCATTATGATGGGTATAGCTTGCCTACAAGTCTGGAAACAATACTGCGGCGCCTAAGACAATCATCTGGATCTAACGCTGGAGAATTTAGATTGTCACCCAAAGAGGGGTGAGCTCCAGTGGTTCATATACAAAAATGCTTGAAGGGTTTTGATAAACAAGCATATTTGTTGTCATAGACACATAGGAATAGATTTCACTGGTAGTTCATCTTGCACTTGCATTCAGAAAATAAAATCTCATTGCTCTTGTCAGCCTTGTGCTCCGTCGACCTTGATCTCTTTGTTTTTGTACCCTCTCAACTACATTGCTTTTCAGTTAGGTGTGTGTGTGAGTGCGTGTGTCTGAGGGAGCTCTCAGATGTATAACCACATATCTCATGACTTGGTTTGTCATTGCTCTTTCCCAGTTTTTGCTACTGCTTTCTCAGTGCCGTGCAATATCATCTGTTGTGATTGCTAAGCAAATGAAAAAAAGAAAGAAAATTGAGAAGCGAGTGATGATGTCATCCAGCTTTTTTCAGTGTTCAAATGTTTCAACATTTCTGTAGTCACAAAATTAGAAATAAACAGTTGGTATTTCCAGCTTTCAAAAACTGTCTTCTGTTATTTCTATTTACTTAAGTGTGTGCCTTGTATTTCCTTTCGTTTTGTTAGACAAGCAAATTGAATCAATAAAACCTGCGATCAGATAAGAACGCAGACAACAGAACATGCAAAGGCATAAGTCATGTTAGAAGACCTGCATGACAAATAGCCCCAGAGCTTCAGGTTATTTTATAAAAATGCACGTATTCTAATCTGAGAAAAGCATTTTGATCAAAGAAACTATATAATTTTTTTAAAAAATTCTTTCTATTTAGAAAAGATGTTTAAAATGACCACTTGAGTGTGTGACATCAACATCAACACAGCAGCTATTTTTGTTCTCAGGTATTGTAACATTCCTGGAAGATCTAAAAAGCGGATGTTGTGGAAAAGGTTAACATTAATGTAATGAGGTGCTGAGAAGCAAGGCCATGTTGAATTATTCAAAAAGATCAAAGTCATAACTTATAGATGAGCTAAGTACTGATATAAAGCATGTCTAATCCTGGCCTTTGCTTATTATTTGCTTTATGTTCAGTATGAACTATCACTAGTTGCAGACACACATAAACATAAGGGAATATAGAGACAAAGTACCTGTAAGTAGACTACACAGTATATCATAAAAAGGCCTACAAATGTCGATAGTATGTGCTCATACTCACTAACTGTGTTGTGGTACATCTACATCAGCTTCAATAAGTACTGCTTTAACAGCTGACTGCAATAAACATATTAGTTCTACTAGCTTCCAAAGTAGTCAACTTGATAGTGGTTTATTTTTTCTCGACATTCCTTTTAGTATTTTGAGGCAGTTACACTTAGAAGTCTGGGAGCCCTTCACCTAATGTCCTTTCTGTAATATAACTAGAAACAGTGGCCACCATATGTATAATAAGGTCTTTTTATAGGCTACACCATTAATGATAGCAACATATGTTATGCACATTTAGGTACTTTATCTTTGGGTATTTTGTGCACAATGCATTATAAGGGTCAATCCAGCAGATGGAGCTGTTGCACTGATTTTTCCAAACACACTGGAAAGTGAAAAATATTAACATACTGTAATGGAACTATAATAACATTGGCTCTTATCACTTCTCTGTCTGTTAATGAAATGATTCTGGCGAACCACGAGTGAATAATACAACAGAAATAGAGACTCTTATGCTTGTGTGCAGCTGCCCAATATTTGTGAAGCAGATTTGACTGGGACACCCGAGAGTAAGGTAGTCAAAAACTATGCAACCAATGGCCAAGATGAAAGGAAGTCAGGCACGTCCTAATTTTTTCAGTTTGCTTTTGTTTAAAAGAGGTAAGTAAGGCTTTCTTTGTAGGCTTCTGCAAAGAATTCAATGTATCTCTCAAGCAGCTACGCTAGATTATATCAACTAATATATATACACACACCAGAAGACAAAATATGCAGGCTATGAATAATCATATCTTATGTTAAGTGCTAAAAGTTCTAGTTAACTTGTGTTCATGTACTAGGCTACAGTTTTGATGCTTAATTCCACATGGCTCAGTGCGGGGCATAGGTCAGTGAGTAATCCCTTAGTGACAATTTGGCAATATAACAGAGCCTACTATCAAAACTAGACTCTGTTTTGAATACGTGGTGCCCCATGTTGAGGCCTTGAGTTAACAATTTTTAGGACCGATAATAACACTATTATTTCATTAATCACTTACTATGTTGTGGCTTAGCAGTCCTTACAGTATTAACTTAAAACACATGCAGTCTTTGTCTACATTCAGGCCGAAGCAAGAACAAAATGTTCATGTGCGTAACTCACGTGCATACATGAACGCGCAGTGACTGACCAATCAGCTCAAAGGGACTACCCCCTGTCTCACTGCCCCAAGAGCTTTCCTCACTCTGAGCAAACACACGCAGATCCATGAGGTCGAAGCTCGTGAGGTTTTTCGTCAAAGAAAGCAGCTCCAGCTCTTCAGACAGGCTCATCATATTATCATTTTAAACTTCTAAGTTGTTATGGCTGTGGGTTCATGTGAGGCTGGAGAGGGAAGTGACGTGTGGGCTGTTGTTGGGACACGTGACTGGAGCTGATATGTTTTGACAAGCAGCAGGGACTGAGGGAAGTGAGGAGGGCACAAGCTCAAAGCATCACGACTTGGAAGACGCGCTGCCTTTTTCATCTGTGGTTCGCTCGTTTGACTATTGATCTGTCTTATAACTACCGAGATTGTTATTTCAGTGGTAAAACAGCTACTGGAAAGTATTTGCTCGTTGCTTCGCTACCATTTGCGCAGTCGTGATATTTGGTAAAAGTTTTAATGACCACCACAAAGGAAGTCAGTGAAGCGGGTATTTCCTGTATTAAATAGATGGCAACAGCCCTGTATTGTTTTGGACATAAAGCGGGTGATAGCTGAGTGAGTGGAAAGATAGTGGCGATTATGGTCTTGTTGCTTTAGCGGAAAATACGACGCGAGTCATCGGTATCGATGTTGGTGGTTGAGCCGTGGCTACCTGCGCTGCTGCCGCCGCTGCGTTGGGGGCTGGGATGTTAGCGAGGTCTCAGTCAGTAGAGGCTAAACCATTACAGCAAAGGACAGGTCAGTTTAGTTGGCCTGGGCGTTTGGTTTTGGGCTAACCCTGCTGACTTGGCTAACCCTTTCTGGCACTGTCGAGTCTGACATTCGTGGAGAACAAACAGAGATGCACCGTGAAGCAATGGTTCAGGTGGAGGAATTTGAGACAGACTGTGAGAGAAGACAGTGTGAATTACCTCTCGTCAGACTGATTACTTGCTAGCAATCTAATCGACCACTCACTGATAGTTCGCTGGCATTCGCCATCAGCTGTCCTAGTATTGGGGAACAATACAGCGCGACTGGATGGACGCGTACTGTAGCATGCTAACAAAGCAATGCTTTGTTGTTGGATAGGGGGAGCTGGCACCAAAACGTGCTTCCAGCTGATATTACTGCGTAGTTAATTCGGTGACATTGTGGGTTTTGGGTTGAGACATAGCTTTAGTGGTGCCTATGCTGTGTGACAAGAGCAACACTAGGGGAAGAGCGAGGCAGACTCTTCAAGACAACCTGATGACACTGGACAACATGAAGCCCGACAGAGGTATGTGCAACACAACACAACACTTGGGTCAATATTCT